AAAAAAAAAAAAAAAAAAAAAAAAAAAAAAAAATTTAGGCTTATCAGTAAGTGAAAATAGGTCAGCATGATGAATTTTTTTACTTATTTAAAGACTTAATTGCTAGATTATTATTTGTCTGAATTAGCAATTTCAGAGTCAAATTGAATATTTCTCTAGAAAGTCCAAAAATTGTTTCCTTTCATAGTTCGTTCAATCTTGTAATTAATTCATTTTAAATAATTGTACTGGGATGTTAAATTTAGTCAGCCAAGACCAACATATATAGTTAAAGTTCTTCCCCACAATTTAATTAAAACATTTGTAACGTGAATCTATTTACAAAATGAAACCAAATGAAAAATGTGAACTATTTTTATGTCCCTTCTAAAATTCTTTGCATAAAAAAACAAATACAAGCATTTTAAAACTATGTGATTCAATGAAAAGGCATTATTTCCATGCAGGATATTACCAGCTAAACATAGCAATAATTTTAAATGACCCTAGGTCCCACACAGTGACCATGACAGGTGGTCCAAATGGGACTTGTCATTTCAGGTGTTGCTTGTTCAGCTAACACTTTTTCCCTTGAATGTGGAACTACATAGATGCTTTTAAAACTTAGACGGACTCAAATGGCAGATTTCCTTTTAGTATGCAAATTATTTCATGTTGGAATCTTGATTTAATCTGTACAGATGCCTAAGCAGCTTGACAGTGATTTATTTGGTTTTAGATAAAACCTCTACATGTGATGGATTAGAAAAAAAACACAGTTCTGATGGTGGGCTCAGAGTAGCTTTGAATCCTAAGATTTTCAGTTCAAACCCCCAAATTATTTCCAAGATACCTGGAATTACATGTAATCATACTATCTAAAATCTTATCTTTTTTTTTCTTGGTTGTTTTGTTATTTTTATAAACTATAGATATATACAGTTGATAACTCAGGATTTCTAGCCAATAACCATATAGTTAACACCACCTTACAAATAAAAAAAAAATGCCAGAAACATCCTTAAATGCCTTGCCACACCAACAGCAAACTTGACAGAGTGAGGAGAACACGAGAGTGCCTTTTCCTTTAAAAATGTTTGGAAAATGTACAACTTTGATACAGCTTCAGGATGCTTCAGACACCCATGGCCACTTTACGTAACCCACTGCCAATCTCTAGAGCACTTTTAGTGACCACAATATGATTGTGATTAAATTTTGTAATTAAGCCTAATGAGAGAAACAGACACTTTCAAATAAGAGATGTGTCAATTACTACGCTCCCCTAAGTGTTCACAAGGAGACAGATGAACAGTTTTTTTATTCATCCTCCTCCTTCTCCTCCCCCTCCTCCTTTGCGTCCTCCTCATCTTCTTCATCTTCCTCTTCTACCTTTTTCTGACAACTTTAGCAGGACCCTTTGCACCGTCAAACTTTCCTTTCGACTTATACTCAGCACAATCCTCCTCATACCTCTCCTTCAGCTTTGCCGCCTTAGTGATGTAAGGCTGCTTTTTGCTGTCATTTAGGTTATTCCACATCTCCCCCAGCTTTTTTGCCACGTCTCCAATAGAGATGCCAGGGTTTGTGGATTTGATCTCAGGGCGGAATTCTGAACAGAACAGGAAGAATCCAGATGGTGGCCTTTTGGGGGCATTAGGATCCTTCTTCTTGCCTCCTGTAGCTGGTCCAGAATCCTTCATTTCCTGATGATAGCGCACTTTATCCGCCTTTATCATTTCATCAAGTTTAGATTTCTCTTTCCTGGACATTGTCTTCCACCTCTCAGAGCATTTCTTGGAAAATTCTGCAAAATTGACAGGGACCTCTGGGTTTTTCTTCTTATGTTCTTCTCTGCACATCTGCACAAAGAAGACATAAGCAGACACCTTGCCCTTTGGTTTCTTGGGGTCACCTTTAGCCATCCTGACTGTATTGTTCACTAGTCTGGGCAGTGCAGGGCATGACATGTGGCTCAATGCTTCCCAGCCTTGAGACAGCTGCCTCCATGAGAACTGCCTCTAAAATCTTATCTTGAAGCTCCCACTGGGTTATTTCACGTGGCCTCCACTTGGTCACTGTGGAGAAATTAAGCTACCATGCAGAGAACTTTGCCTAGGACTAGAAAGTTCTTAGAAAAATGATTTTTGCACTTATGTTCTTCTATTTGGCATTTAGCACTAAATACAGATGAGCCTCTGGGAGATTGTCTGTAACTTAAAAAATAGAACAACCTTGAAGTTTTATTTGATCAATTATATGTTGTGTATTATGGAAGTATGAGATTAGCATTTCCCAATTTACTCTATGACTTAAAGGAAAGTAATAGGAACATCTGACAAAGCATTAAAAAATTAGGTTGTGCCTGTATAACAATGCAATGATTAAATTTAAAAAATTTCAATAGCTCAAAGTTTTCTTTTCACATTGTATTTATTTATTTATTTATTTGGAAGACATATTAACCAAGTGCCTACATAAAGCAAGAACTAGAGGAAACGCCAGAGGCATAACAGCAAACAAACTAGACAATGAGGGCACCCATGGAGCTTGCACTCCATCAGGGAATATATTAGTACCAGATAACTGCTTTGATTAATATTTAGTTAGACTGACCCGTTTTTATATAATAAAAAATACAAAGTAAATATCTTTTCATATGAGAATCACAAATTAGGCCAGGCGCAGTGGCTCACGCCTGCAACCCCAGCACTTCGGAAGGCAGAGGTGGGCAGATTACTTGCAGTCAGGTATTCGAGACCAGCCTGGTCAACATAAAGAAACCCCCTCTCTACTAAAAATGCGTAATTAGCCAGGCGTGGTGTCGCATGCCTGTAATGCCAGCTACTCAAAAGGCTGAGACACAAGAAGAGCTTGAACCCTGGAGGTGGAGGTTGCAGTGAGCAGAGATTACACTACTGTACTCCAGCCTCGGCAATGAAGCGAGACTCCAAAAAACAAAATCACAAATTATTTTATGGAAACTTCTATCACATAATGTCTGAAATCACGGATGGTCAACAGTCTTAGAATTTCTTATAAACCTGATTACTAACCCTTTGTATGAGATAAATTTATTCTACACTTGCTAAATTTGTAAGTTGCCTAGAAGTTAGAGCAGTAATTAGATGTAAATGAACTTACAGAGATTGAATTCACATATGTAGAAAATGATATTTTGTCAGTATGTTGAGTTAGATATGTAAATGATAATTTTATTTAGTGCCAAAGTTCACACATCAATTTGGTCAAGTTCCCTTTTTTCTCTACTGAGTACGTCTTCAGACACTAAAATGCTAGCTTTATTCAATCCTTGTCCAGTAATTAATTTTAAAAACATCACCCAAATTAATTTGATGAATATTTTGCTGAGTATAAAATTCAAGGCTAGCAGTTCTTTACTTTTCACACTTTAAAAATGTTCTTGGGAGGAGGGCAAAAGTTGAAAAACTACCCATTGGGCACTATGCTTACTACCTGGGTGTTGGGATCTATTGTATCCCAAACCTCAGTATCATGCAATATACCTGTGTAACAAACCTGCACATGTACTCCCTGAATCTAAAATAAAAAGTGAAATTATTTTTAAAAAATAAAAATAATAGGCTGGGTGCAGTGGTTCATCCCAGCCCTTTGGGAGGCCAAGGCAGGCAGATCATGAGGTCAGGAGTTCAAGACCAGCCTGGCCAATATGATGAAACCCTATCTCTACTAAAAAAAATTAGTCAGGCGTGGTGGTGCACATCTGTAGTTCCAGCTACTCAGCAGGCTGAGGCAGAAGAATCGCTTGAATCTGGGAGGTGGAGGTTGCATTGAGTTGAGACTGTGCCACTGCACTCCAGCCTTGGCAACAGAGCAAGACTCCATCTCAAAATAATAATAATAATAATAATAATAATAAATAAAAATTAAAATGTTGTTTCATTGTTTTCTGGCTTCCAGCATTTTTGTTGAGAATTCAGATCTCACTCTAATACTCCTTTGAAAGAAATGCACCTCACCTTCATTTTGTAGACAAATAGACTAGAAGACTTGAAGGCCAAAG